AGCTTTATAGCATCTGACTTTCCTTTCACCACCAGGTGCATCCACAGCTGAGCGTCCTTTTGGCTTTGGCCCAGTCGCTTCACTCACTCCTTCACCGATCACTGACTTCTTATGCTGAAGGATCTTGCGTAGAGCTATGAACTATGCCGTGCAGGGTTCGGATGGACAGGTTATGGCGGAGAGTTCTGATAAAAAGTGGTCCACTCCAGTATCCTTGCCCAGAAAACTCCATCAACAAAAGGCTAAAAGATATCATGCCAGAAGATGAGCTCCTCCAGTCGGAAGGTGTCCAATATGCAACGGAGGAAGAGTGGAGGGCAATTACAAATGGCTCCAGCGAGAGTGAAGCGGCTGGGCCAAATCCAAAAGGACAATCAGCTTTGGATGTGTCCAGTGATAAAAAGAAACTTTGATGATGTAAAGAACAATATTCCATGGGAACCTGGAATGCAAGATCTACAAATCAAGGTAAGCTGGAGGTGGTCAAACATGAAATGGCAAGATTGAACATCAACATTTTGGAAATCAGCGAACTAAAGTGGACAGGAATGGGCAAATTGAATTCAGATGGCCTGTCAGGTCCCATAGATCTCTATCGGGACGCTGCCATTCTGGTGGGAATGGGGAGATTTGGGGACATGCTTGAATGGGATTTTTCTTTGTACCTTTCTCTGCTTTGATGTACCTTTGGGAAGTGGGAGGGAGGAAAGGAATGTACCTGGGGCCATCTGTTTTGTCTTAACATCAGAGGAGTGAGATTGTGGTGCCTGGGAAATGCCTGTTATCGCCTTCTTGGCCCGAAGTTCTCACAACATCTTCACACCAGTGGTGGGTTTCAACCGGTGTTACCACTGGTTCGCATCATGCACACACTTCACGACTTCAAGACTCAACCCGATGAAAGCCCCAGCATGTGGACGAAGGACGGAATCATCCTGGGCAATTCTGCAAAGGCAAGGTGGTTTGTTGGTGTAGTGTCAGCCTCCGCTTCTATATTGCTTGCTTTCTATGGCTGCCATTGTAACGGGGGGAGGGGGGAGCTGTCTGGGTAGTTGGGATGGGGGAAGTGAGCTGGTGGAGATGTATTGTAACAGAGAATGAATTGGAGAAAGTTTTCCTCAGCGTTTTCTCTGCAGCTGGGAGGCGTGCTGATAACCAGTCAAGGTCAACCAGAAGGATGGGGCCATCGGAAGCTGCACCCCACATGACACCCTGGGGGGATGTGGATTGGATAATCCTGACTGGACCTTTGGGGGGAGGGTTTTAAGAATGTTTTCTATATGTGATTTTCACACCTATTGCCTCAGATCTTGCTTTTCTTCGGTTGCATTCAGTTCATACTCAGTAAAAGTACCTCTCTCTATGAAAATGGAGTCGGGGTTTTTCTTTCTTGAGTACTGAAAGGAGGCATATCTGACACATAGGGAAACTGGGACTGGGACGGGAGAAGCCGAGGAGTCACCTTTACCCAGGGCAGCTGACAACAGGTGTGGAAGAGTGAACTGGAAACCCTGTATGATGACTACAAGATGGAGGAAGCATCGGGCTGATCCGACCAACTCATGAAGCAATGCACTTCATGAGGGAGGCCCTCCAGGGCATGAGAGTCCCTTTGGGAGTCTGCAGATAGGACGAGAGGAGGCCACCTGTGAATGAGGGGATTCCACTGGGACATCCACTGACACTGCAGAAAGCCCCAACAAGCCCATTGCCACCCCCTGAACCCACCTCAAAGAGATCCTTATCATACAATAAATCTGAAGATCTGGATCTTGGGGTCTTACCCCCAACTTTGGAACCATATAAGAAGGGAGAACCGAAAGTACAACGACTGACCCGATCAACTTATAAACTTCAAGAACAACAGTTAAAAATGCAACAATCTCAAGATCTATCTGAAGAAGTTCAGAAAACAGAAGCAGTGGGGGGAGCTAGGCTGAAGAGTAAGGTAACAACAATGGAGACAAGGGACAACCATCCAAAAATACTAGCACTGCCGGGACCTGGTTGTTCCTCCCCAAATACTCTAGTAAGTTAACAATTTGCCTTACATTACTTTTCATTTGTCTACCATTTATAAAACCAGTTTGATCATGATGAATCATTTGCTGCATAACTATCATTAATCTATTTGCTAATATTTTAGCAAAAATCTTATAATCTGTATTTAAAAGTGAAATCAGCCTGTAGTTTTTTGGATCTGTATGATCTTGACCCTCTTTTGGGATCAAAGAAATAAAAGCTGTCTACCAAGTTGGAGGTACCTCTCCTCCCTGTTGTATATTGTTAAATAATTTCTTCAGTGGTTCCACCATTTCCTCCTGTAAACTTTTATAATAAACAGCTGTGTTGCTGAGCACATTGTAAGCTGCCCTGAGTCTTCGGAGAAGGGCGGCATATAAATCAAATTTAAAAAAAAAAAAAACTATCCGTTCCAGGAGCTTTACCCACTTTCAACTGCTTAATTGCAAACAAAATTTCCTCGGAAGTTATCAATTGATTTAAACTATCCCTCTGCTCTTTTGAAGTTATATAAATGTTCTCTTTCTGCAAATATCTATCTATATCTGTATCTTGAATTTTATCACCAGTATACAGCCTTGAGTAAAACTCTAGAAAAGATTTTTTAATCAATTCTTGCTCATAAACCTCTTTACCCTTGTATTTTATTTTCTCTATAGTCCTTGATTTCTGCTTTTTCCTTAACAAATATGCTAACCATCTGCCAGATTTATTGGCATTACAAAAAGTATTATGTTTAGCATATTGTAAATTAGTTGCCACTTGGTCTGCTATTAACATGTTAAATTGACCTTTCAGTAAATTAATTGCCTCTTTAATTCTCTTATCTGTTGGATTAACTATCAAAGCTCGTTCTTGTTTTCTAATCTCTTCTTCTATCCTTTCTTTTTCCCCCCTGTTTTTTTCTGTACTTATTGTTCAAATATATCAAAAATACCTCGCATATATGCTTTGCTTGCATCCCACACCATTTCCATCGATGTACCCTTTTGCATATTCATAACAAAAAATTCTTTCATAAATTTTTTACACTCTTTAACATTTTCTTCATATCTAAACAAATTATCATTTAACCTCCAGGACCTCCTAAGCCCCTTTCCATACTCCAGTTCCATCCAGACTTGACTATGGTCTGTCAATATTCTTGAACAACTCTTCATATTCTTCACCCTAGAAAAGAGGGTATATATAAAAGCAGCTGTGCTAGACCCAAAATGGCCCCTGAAACAAGCAGGAACCTCACACGGCCACAAAAAGCCCAAAAACCCAACTTTCACACTTTACACACACAAAATTCCACATACAGCTTTGTGAGATTTTGTGTGTTTGTGTAGTTAGAGTGAAACACTACAGAAACACACTAAATCTTAGAAAGCTGCACAAATATTATTTTATTTTTATTTATTTTTATTTTTATATAAAAGCAGTTAAAATTTAAAACTTCCTAAACTTTAAATTATTAAATTACTATTGCTTAGCACATTGTAAGCCGCCCTGAGTCTCCGGAGAAGGGCGGCATATAAATCAAATAAAAAAATAAAAAAATAAAAAAAAATAAAAAAATGGCTAGGTCTAAAAAAAGAACAACTAAAAAAAAAACCCCTAATTAACTATTTTTTAAAGCTCCCAAAGGGGAAAAAAACTTACCCAATAGAACAGGAGTCTCCAACCTTGGCAACTTTAAGACTTGTAGACTTCAACTCTCAGAATTCCTCAACCAGCTTTGCTTTGTTGGCTGAGGAATTCTGGGAGTTGAAGTCCACAACTCCCTGCCTGCTTGATTGCAGGCAGGGAGATTCAGTTGCTTGCTGATGCAATGGATTGCAGGGATTACAGCAAGGTGTTGCGACCAGCAGCTAAGGTAAGCAAACTGAGGGGGGGAGGGGGAGGGATTTTTGCTACCGATTAGCAGGCAACTCAACTGGGATCGTCAGAGCTTGGCTCGTCAGAGCCATTTAAAAGAAAAAAAGGCTCTGATGATCGCGCGGCTCAGCTGGGCATGGGGGGCAGGGGCAGGGATTTTTGCTACCGGTTCTCTGAACTGCCCGCTGCCATCGCTACATACTCACCCGAGCCGGTCCGAACCGGGAGCATATCACCCCTGCTACACTCTCTCTGCTATCACTGTCTTCCAATAGAAGTTCCTTTTGAAATGCCACAGCCCCCCCACCCCAGAAGCCATGTCACTGCCTTTCTCCTGCTACACCCCTACCATAGCGCCACAGCCCCTGCACCACAGCCCCTGCGATCACCTATCGGCAATTGTATGCCACCCCCGCAACACCATGGCAGACCTCCACCCAATTGGCTGGCAGCTAACTGTCCTGCACAGCCAAAGGTCTGGGACAAACAGTGTCTCGGCAAATGAGCTGTGCCAAAAGGCATGGGGTGGAGGGATGGAGGTCCATTTGCCAAGGAGAATGGCCAGGGGAGGGCCAGCAGAGGAGGAAAGCTGGCTATAAATGGGCTGAGGCGGGAGGCAGGAGGCAAAGGAGGTGCAGCCAAGGTTGGGAACCTGAAGGTCCTAGATCCACTCTTGCCATCCTGGTTGAGGGGGGAAATACAAATTAGTGGCAGAAAATCAAAGCAGCATCACGTGGGGTCACAGTTGAAGGGACCAACCTGGTGACAGAGAGAGGCTAAACCCAACTGGTACTTTGAGTGACCCCGTCAGGCCTCCTCCAGGTCAGTCTTTCAGGTGGCCAGAGGCTTGGTGAAGCTTTGGGTCTCTCCTTTGGGTCTCTCCTGTGAGGTAGATCCTCCTTTTGAACCCCAAGGGAAGGACTCAGTTCCTAGGGAGGACATTTGAACCCCTCCTGTTACTCTAAGAAGGACAGGCCATTGCCCAGCGAGGCCCCACCATGTCCTTTGGAGCCATTTTGTCCCTTCTCAGAAAAGGTGAGAAATTAAATGTCTGTCAGAAGGTCTCTTGTGACCCAATTTTGAAGGCTTCCTCTCTCTTCTCTCTGACTTTACAGAAGACGTTGAAGCAAAAGTGAATGGCATTCTGGGACACTCTGTCACATTCCAAGTGAAGTCCTCTCTACCATTTAAATCAATTTCCTGGAGTAAAATTGCCAGCAGTAAATCTGAAACTATTGCTGTGGTGACCTCTGGGGAGCCCTGTGGCCGTCTGGTCCCCGACCCAGCCTATGAAAAGCGAGTGACCATCCCTGAGGACTGCAAAGGATTAAATATCAGCCATCTCAGGAAAGAGGATGCTGGTAGATTCAGAGCAGTGATTATTCCATCAGATGCAGAGAAGGTGGATGAGTCCTTTGATCTGCAAATATTCCGTAAGTATCCCACCCATCATGGTAGTAAATTCCAGGCCTCCCTCCTTTGCCCAGAGTGATATAGCAATAGCAATGGCACTCAGACTTATCTACTGCTTCACAGTGCTTTCCAGCCCTCTCTAAGCGGTTTAGAGTCAGCCACTTGCCCCCAACAATCTGGGTCCTCATTTTACCCACCTCGGAAGGACGGAAGGCTGAGACAACCTGGAGCCTGGTGGGATTTGAACTGCCAAATTGCAGGCAGCCAACAGTCAGCAGAAATAGCCTGCAGTACTGCACTCTAACCACTGTGCCATATGGAGATGGGAGGCTTTTCAGGGGAGCTTTGGGTGTCCAGTTTCTGAAGCGATGCACTTTCTGGATGGAGCCCAGTAGCATCCATCCCACTTAGGTTAGGGTGACCAAGGGTATCTGACCAAGAGTCTACTTTACTGGAGCAGAAGTGACTACAGAAGTAGCAGGATGGAGTCTGTTGCTTTGGTGCAAAACAAAAGATACAGTTCACTTTTCCTTTTTCCCAGGCCTCCCCCTTGTTATCAGTCATTGTCCAGGCAGAAGTATCACCATTGTTTGGGTAATGGACCTTCATTTCGCGCCTTCTCCATCTGCACCTTCCTTTGGGTGACCTTGGGCTGTATGGGAAGGTCTCCTCCCCAGGCCAGTTCTGCTTGGGTTCTCAGCCCTCCCTTTCCCCCCACCCCATTCCAAACCTGTTCCCTCCCCCCATTCCAGAAATGTCAGCCTGGCAGGATGCGAAGTGATGCTAGCAGAATGGCAGCCATGAGTTTCGCACCTGCTGCTCCCTCCTTTTTAATCTCCCTTCAAATGGGCAGAATTTGGATTTAAAAAAAAATGCAGATATGAATATTAAATTGCAAACATATTAACCTGATAGCTTAAGCATGTTCTCATCAGGCCTAGTCTTGCTCACATTTGCCCTCCTCCCTCCCCAAATTCCCCCCCTGTTCCCCCCTGGCCATCATCGTCCATGCCTGGAGCTTTGACATATCTGAGGACTTGCATTTCTGCAATGGATTAGAATGGAGCTCAAGCCATGTCCTGCACACACTTCCTCTCTGGAAGGGGGCTTGGGGAGGTCCATCACAGCTCCCTCCAGGCTCCCTCTCCTTGGGGCTGGACTGGGCCAAGCCAAAAGTGGGTTCCCAGATGGAGAGGAGAGGAAGAGAGAAGCAGGTGGGCTTTGAGGCTGGAATCTCCAGAGAGGAGTTCAGGATATTCTTCATGGATCTGGTGGGACTGGCTGGACCCACAAACTCTTTGGGGAAGAGTCAGGGGATCGTTGAGGAGCTGAGCCTGGAGCCTCATCCTCTTCCCCTCAATCCATGGTTTGGTGTAAAGAGGAATTGGGGGAAGGCAAAGGATGAGGGGTGCTTGCTCTCCACTATCTTGGGGGGCCTCTCCCTTCACAATCTGTCTCCCATGTAAGAAGGGGGATTGTTCTGAGATTGTTATTTGCAACAGAAACAGGTTAGAAGTATTTTCCCTGCTCTAACCTAAGCAAAACTATTGACTGAGCCTCTGCTGTTGTTGTTCTCCTTCCTCCTTGGCCTCACTGTGATTTTGTGGTCTTCCACAATGTGATTTGTCTGTCTTCTTCTCAGGACGTTTGCTGGACTCTGAGATGACAGTGACCTGCACTCCTGATGCAGCTGGAAATGGAACTTGGAAGCTGAATTGCTCTACAGGGACTTGGGAAGATGGGGTGAAATTCAGTTGGACCTCAGCTGTCCAAAGCAGGGATCTTCCCCACTGGAATTCTTCAATCCTCACCTCCCAAGATCTTAATCTCAATGTCACCTGCGCAGCAGAAAACCCGGTTAGCAAGGCATCCACAACAGTGTCCTTAAAGCAAGTTTGTGCTGGTAAGTTTTTCTCTTCTTGAAAGAGTCCATGGGACCAAAGATGAACCTGACATTTAGCTGGAAGAGAAGAAGTCCTACAGAAGGCAGAACTTCCCTGGGAGTTGGAAAGGGGTTGGGCTGCCACAACAAATCAGAAAAATAAGAATTCAGTGCAAACATACAAATTACAGCCATTAACCACCATCACCAATCATATTCCTTAAATTTATAATTCCTCTTTTTATGGAGGGGGAGGAATCTTCAATTGGCACTGGAAATCTTATTTGGCCCTCTAGATTTCCATTTCCATTGACCTCATACTTTGCAAGCAGCTGGTTGCTGAATTCCTCTGGTCTCTGAACCTACTCAGCACTCAGCTCTTCTGAGATTCCCAACCGAGGCACACCAGGTGCACCCCCTTGTGGGTGAAGAAGTCCCACCTGCAAAGGTTCATTTGGGTGACTCTGTAAGCAAATCCCATACAGGCCATTTCTAAGCAAAAGAAATGCAGCCAATGGAATGCAGAACAAGCTTCCGGCCAAGCTGACCAATTAATTTGGGAGAATGTAGCCAAATTCCTTTGGTTTACCCTGATTGTAGGGTCCATGCGTGAGCAACCAGACCCACACGTATAGAGTTCAAGCTAGCAACTTTATTGTTGCCTATAGTACAGGAATCTCCCCTGACTGGCAGCTTTCACCTGGGAAAGGACAGAGAAGGCTTCAGACCTTTGCCTTCTTGTGTTTTTGTAGTGAGTTACTCTAGGCTAATTCCCCACCTGAGCCCCCTCCCAACAGGGACAGTTGTTCTCCAACAGGGAAACCAAATCAGGGGGATTAGGAACCTGGAAGGATCGTCAAACAAGGAGTCAAAATTCCTCATTTGATTCTTTGCTGGACAGATCTCTGGATGATGAGGTGACGATGACGCTGTACAGACATTCCAGTTATTGGGAGTATATGCTACCTAGTTAAATCTACTTCCAAAATTGCAAAGCTGTTGGATAGAAATATATTTTGTGGTTTGATAGAGAAGATGGTTTTACCTCAAGATAGCTAATGATGCATGTCTCGTGTTTATTTTTTTATTATTATTTATTTTTATTCGTCATATTTCTATGCCGCCCACTCTCCGAGGACTCTGGGCGGCTTATACCAAAGACAGTATACTAAATAGCATATTGCCCCCAACAATCTGGGTCCTCATTTTACCCACCTCGGAAGGATGGAAGGCTGAGTCAACCTTGAGCCAGTGAGATTTGATCTGCTGATTTGCTGAACTAGCAGTCAGCTGAAGTAGCTTCAGTACTGCATCCTAACCACTGCGCCACCTCGGCTTATTTAAAGTAAGAGGGATATTAATGCTTCAGGCTGCTGAGTGGCATTTGACTAATGCAGTTACTGCATTCATTTTGCAAGCCTTAACTCAGACACATGATAATGATCACATTGCATGCATTTCCTGCCCTACTTTTGCTCTCTTTCCTCCAGTTTTCATTTGCGATTGTTTTGTGCTTGTAGTAAAGAATAGAGAAAAATGCTTTGACTGAGAAAATTATTGTAAAATTAACTAGGCCTAACGATATGCTTCAAGGAGGGTTAATTGGGTCTGGTGGCTGTTAATCGGATGGCTTCACCAAACCAGAGATGCCCAATTTCTCACTGCCTGATCTCTGTTTCCTTTCTATCTGCTCTTGCATTCTGTCCATCATTTATTTATTTATTTGTTTGTTTAGACTTATATGCCGCCCTTTCTCCGAGAGGACTCAGGGAGGCTCATAACAATAAAACAGAAAAATAAAACAAAAACTCCGGGTTAAAAATTACACATACAAACCCTAAAATCAATTAAAATCCATTTTAAAAACCCCCATCAGTCCAGGCCAGCCAGGCGAAATAGCCATGTTTTTAGTTTGTGGCAGAAAGAGCGAAGGTCGGGGGCCATCCAGAGCTCCAGGGGGAGCTGATTCCAGAGGGTAGGTGCGCCCACAGAGAAGGCTTGCTCCCTAGGGGTCGCCAGCTGACACTGTCTGGCCGACGGCACCCCGAGTAGGCCCTCTCTGTGGGAACGCACCGGGCGATGGGGAGCTGTTGCTGGCCGCAGAAGGTCCGCCAAATACCCCGGGCCTAAGCCATGTAGGGCTTTATAGGTAATCACCAGCACCTTGAATCTCACACGGAGGGCAACCGGTAACCAATGCAGATCGTGCAGGAGGGGTGTAACATGAGAGCGTCAGGACATTCCCATCACTACCCGCGTGGCCGCATTCTGCACCAGCTGAAGCCTCTGAGTGGTCTTCAGGGGCAGCCCCATGTAGAGAGCATTGCAGTAGTCAATCCGGGAGGTGACCAGCGCATGAGTGACCGTGTGTAGGGCATCTCAGTCCAGGTAGGGGCACAACTGGCGCACCAGACGAATCTGGGCAAATGCCCCCCTGGTCACGGTCATAACATGATCTTCCAGAGACAATCGTGAATCCAGGAGGACGCCTAAATTGCACACCCTGTCAACAGAGGGCAAAACCTCACCCCCTATAACCAGCGGTGGAGCATCCCCATGGAACCGAGATGCCAGTACCCACATCCACTCCGTCTTGGCAGGGTTGAGCCAAAGCCTGTTCCTCCCCATCCAGAGCCTCACCGCTTCCAGGCACCGGGACATCACGGTGAGGGCATCGCTGGGCTGATTTGGGGTGGATAGAAAAAGTTGGGTATCATCAGCATACTGATGATACCCCACCCCAGAACCATGGATGATCTCCCCCAGTGGCTTCATATAGATGTTGAACAAAAGGGGAGAGAGGACCAACCCCTGGAGCACCCCACATGTAAGGGGCCTCGGGGCCGACCTCTTTCCCCTCGCCAACACCGCTTGTGAACGACCCATGAGGTAGGAAGGGAACCACCGTAAAACAGTGCCTCCCACCCCTAACCCCTCAAGGCTTCGCAGTAGGATATCATGGTCGATGGTATCAAAAGCAGCAGAGAGATCTAACAGGACCAGGACAGAGGAATGTCCCCTGTCCCGAGCCCTCCAAAGATCATCAACCAGTGCGACCAATGCCGTCTCCATGCTATACCCGGGCCTGAAGCCCGACTGGTATGGGTCCAGGTATACTGCTTCCTCCAGGGCCAACGAGAGCTGATGTGCCACCACGCTCTCAACAACCTTCGCAATAAAACGAAGGTTGGAGACAGGACGAAAGTTGTTCAAGATAGCTGGATCCAAGGCAGGTTTCTTGAGGAGGGGCCTCACCACCGCCTCCTTCAAGGTGGCAGGGAAGCTCCCCTCATCCAAGGAAGCAGTAATCACTGTCTGGATCCAGTCACATGTAACCTCCTGAGCCGAATAAACAAGCCAGGAGGGACACAGGTCCAACAAACACGTGATGGTACTCAGCTTCCCCATGATTCTGTCCACTTCCTCGGGAGTAACAGGATCGAACTCGTCCCAGATAACCAGACCCGTCGTCACCCCCTCAATCGACCCTGCCCAGTCAGAGTCCAGCCCATCCCGAATCTGAGCAATCTTGTCCAGCAGATGTTGGTTATACTCCTCGGCCCGCCCACGCATAGGATCATCCCCCGCTCCCTGATTCAAAAGGGAGCGGGACACCCTAAACAGGGCAGCTGGGCGATTATCTGCAGATGCGATGAGGGCAGAGAAGTAAAGACGCTTTGCTGCCTCCATCTCCACTAGATAAGAACGCGTAAAGGATCTTAACTGTGCTCGGTCAGACTCACACCCGTCCATCTGGGGAGCAGTGACCTCCGCGGACTATGGGCCTCCCTAATAACAACAACCGCCACCCCCCACCCCTCCCCTGGGTCCTCGGCTGGTGTAGCACCCGAAAACCTGGCGGACAAAGTTCAGTCAGGGGGACACCTCCCTCCGAGCCCAGCCAGGTCTCCATAATGCAAGCCAGGTCCGCATTTTCCTCCTCGATCAGCTCACTGATGAGGGGAGCTTTGTTAACCATGGATCTGGCGTTAAATTAAACCAGCTTGAGCCCAGAGGCCCTATCTCTCAACCCCCCAGGAAGGCAGGCAGAACCAGGAGGGCCAGAGCGGGCCACCGCTCGACAACAGCGGGGGTGCACTCCCAACCTTCGATACGGCCCTCCGTTCCACGGCCATTCCCCATCACAGCAGGGATCTGTGCCCCTCCCCCCTCCCTCGGAGTCTCAGGGGACCCCAACCCCGCTCCAACCTCACCGCGACCCTCCCCTGACCTGGACTGACAACCACCTGGGGGAGCCCCACCAGCCACCCACCAGGTATCATAACCCCTCCCTCTCCCTAATCCCCTTAAAAACCTAATTAAAAAAGAGTGTAAGGAACTGCTTTTAAAAACCCCAAGACCCTTATGCCATCATGTTGAACCCCAGAGGAGACACCTGAGATGAAGGCCCCCCAAGAGAACGCTGAGTTCCACCCCCTCTTTTTAGCTTCTACCCTTCCTTGCCCCTCCCTCTTGGCAGTTTTCCAAAGGATTCTACCCCTCGTGACCACCCTTGAAGGAGGGAGGGGGGAGGAGGAACTAAAACTAATAAATCTCCTATACAGGTAGTCCTCGACTTACAACAGGTCAAAGTTACTGTCAGCGTTCCAAGTAATGCACCCATTACCTAGAACCGCAGAAATCCGAGGCAGGTAGCTTCCTCAAAGAACAGCTTTATTGGATACATCATATCGGCACAACTGGTGAAAACCGACTCTGAAAGTTCCCATGGTTTTCACCTAATTAAAAAGTGAAAGTTCCCCCCTTTCCCCCCCAGGTCATCTGTCACATTGTCCAATAGAAGTGCTGGCTGGTTGGTTGGTTACTCTGCTCCTCCTCTCTCTCAGGCACCTGATGGAATGACCTTGGTTCCCACAGGAAAACTTTTTGTTTTGGTGACCAAACCCCGTTATCTATTCCCCCCCCCCCATCCCCTCTTCTGCCTTGTGGCAACCCTGAAGCCTCCAAGATGGCCTCAGCCAGGTTCATTTCAGGGTTGACAGTCAGACCTTCCCCCTTAA